ACAGAAGTCTGTGTCTCTGCCCAAACTACTTCCCAGTACCCATAAATCCAGCAAGATCCCTCAACCGATCATCTGTTCCCCTGCCCTCAACGTTGGAACTGGGGAAGGGGCTGCTACTGAGGCCAAATATATCCCCTTCTGTTGTTCCCATGAATTGGGACAGTTAAAACTGGCCAGTCTTCTCCAGAACTGATTTCACACTGGCTTCGACCCCAAGAAGGTGTCCAAAAATGTCCAGCAACAGGAGAGACGTCATAATGCGTCTTATTTCGCCTCTGACACAGACCTTCTTCAATGTGTCCTCTTCCCACCTCAAAAAAGAAGGTAAGAGAAAGGTCTGTTTCCAATTCTCTCTGTGTGTATGTGAGTGTGCTCTAAAGCAGAGAGAACATCTTTCTTTGGATCCAGGCCAAGGGTACCAGCTTGAAGAAAATGATATAGCCACAGGAAGACACTTTAGTAGAAACACAACTGGGTTCCTTGGGAGGGTCAAAGAATCAAAGCAATTGGGGCAGGGGGATTAACACAGATGCCCGCTCCAGTCCTCTGGGTTTGTACCCTTAGTCTACATGAGTGGGACACACCAAGACTGGAATGGATCGGAGTCCCTTGCTAGAGGCAAGTAAGAAGGGAGAAGAGGTCTCCAGTTGGAAAACAAGAGGTGCCCAACCATCAGAAGATGCCTGAAAGTGTGGTAGGTCAAAATGGACAGGCTGGTAGAAGAGAGGGATGGGAGTCTTCCGTCTAGATCTGTCTTCCCTCTAGATGACAGAGGGTGTTTGTCTTCAAAAGAAGCTCGAAACGCTGGAGGAGGAGGAGCTTCATGGACGTCGGGCCTGCTGAAGGTGCCGCAAAGCGAGCCCCTTGGTGTCCACTCTCCCTCGCCACGTCCTTCCGTTGACGTCCTTCAGAAACCCTTGATGTGGCAGTAGGCCTCCAGGCCAGCAAAGAGGATATAGATCAGCCAGAGGCCCACAAAGAGGCAGGTGGTCAGGATTTTGGCAGTTTGGGGACCCCCCAGCTCGCCCCCTATGTGGGGCCGCCGGCGGTACATGAGGACACTGATACAAACGAAGGCAAAGATGGTGAAGAGGGTGACGGAGAAGGCCAGGGTGCCCGTCTGCACCTCGAAGTTTTTGCCTTGGAAAGCCCAGTAAATGGCCGCCACCGACCAGGCCACGCCCAGGCCCAAGAAGACGTTGACCGCGTTGCTGCCTGTCACGTTGCCGATGGACGCATCCGCGCACTGGTCCTGCAGAGCGGCCACTTTGCTGGCAAAGGTGTCTGTGGAAAGAGGAGAGCGCTGAGCATGTACAAGTCCAGAAAAACCAGACAGCCCTTGGTCCCCTGGGGGACCCCCCCACCACCACTGTCTCCCCACTTTCACGGCCCATGTGTACAGGGGGTCCTCAACTTACAACAACACAGGGCCACAGTGGCTCAGTGGCTCTGGCTGCCCCATTGACTTTGCTTGTCAGTAAGTGGCAAAAGGGGGATCACGTGATCCTGGAAGACACTGCGACCGTCATAAATACGAGTCAGTTGCCCAGCGTCTGAATTTGGATCACGTGACCCTGGGGATGCTGCAAGGGTCGTAAGTATGGGAAATGGTCGTAAGTCACTTTTTTCAGCGCCGTTATAACTCTGAACGGTCACTAAACGAGTGATTGCAAGTTGGGCAGTAGTTAACCAACCGGAGTCTGAATAACACGGTCATTAAGTGGACCCTGAGGAATGAATACATGAATCCAGCATTTCCAATGGGTGGTTTGGGGTATTTTCTGCGGGAAAATCAGCCCTAAAGTTTTTCCAGCAGAAAATATCGAAAAAACCACCCATTGGAAATGCTGGGTTCATGTATTCATTCCTCAGGGTTCACTTAATGACCGTGTGGCTCGTTTTACGACGATCATAACATAATGGTAAAATTGATTGCGATCACACGGTGCCTCGGACTCACAACCGCTATGACTTTACAGCCAAAATTCTGGGCTCCGTTGCCGTCGTGAGTCGAGGACCACCCGTAAGTGGCTGACTGGGCTAAGGGTCATGTGTGAACAGGGCAGATGGGGGGCACACCTGGGATGGACGTGCCCAAGGCCACAAAGACGACCGCATTGACCGAGTCCTTGAGTCCCACCGTGCAGCCAAAGTGGGAGGCCAGGTCGCCGATGAGGGCGGTCAGCATGCCAATCACCATGATGCTAACACTGAAGCAGGCCCAGCCGTTCCAGTACTCGGTGGGCGGCACGCAGGCGAAGAGAACCTTCCAGAAGACCGTCAGGAAGTGCATGACGTAGTCGAAGCAAGACGGCAGCCTCTCCTCTCGCCCGTCCTCATCCTCGTCTTCCACACCTAGGGCAAGGAGTCCTGAGTCAGACGTTCAGCCTCGATGGGCGAGGCAGGCAGAAAAAAGATGGGTAGGGAGTTGGGACCCAAAATTGGACAGTGGCATGAAATGTGAGGTCCTTGGTGCTCTCTGAAGTAGAAGGGAGTGGGGTTTGGGGGGATGAGGAGGAGGACTGTGGAGGAGGAGGGGGGAAGAGGAGGGGGAGGGGAAGTCCCCTTGCGCACAGTCACCCATGCTCTTGTCACCTCCTGCCTGGACTACTGTAATGCTCTCTACATGGGGCTCCCCTTGAGGAGCATTCGGAGGCTCCAGTTAGTCCAGAATGCAGCCGCGCGGGCGGTGATGGGAGTGACTCGTCGCTCCCATGTAACGCCGCTGTTGCGCGAGCTGCACTGGCTGCCGGTGGCCTTCCGGGTGCGCTTCAAGGTGTTGATTATCATCTTTAAAGC